TTCAGGACATTCACTGATTGCCTGCTGCGTGAGTGCCGTAAAAGGGGGATCAGAATGGTTGATCCAGTCATCAAAAATGTGGCGTTTGAAGATTTGGAGAACTCCTTCAAACAGATTCGTGACATGTACCGTAACCAGCAGCCATTTGTGATTTATGTCGATTCCCGCGACGGCACCCACGGTTTCTTTTTCTACGCTTGAAAACTTATCGAAGTCTGCTCTGGGCAGCACACATTTACTTGGACTATAGAGTTTGTAAAAAGGATTCATAGAGCGTGTTTGTAACGAGGAGGAGGGCAACCGGAGGCCTGAGCAATTGTAGGGTGACTCTCGCACCGAACAGCAAATAAAATTTTATTCGTATAAGCACAAAGCAAAACACACACAAGAGAAAAACCAAACCGCAAGGTAGCAGCTTCATGCTGCCGCCGCACAATTCTTCAGTGCCACAAAACAATCAACCTTTCATTTCTAACCACTACTTTAAATATCACGGAGGGAGGAACTCGAGTCAGGAGACGAGACAATTGCAAATCATAAGGAATCGATGGGCAGCTGTGCAACGCGAAAGGTTAGCCACCAACTTCGCCCTGTCAGCACCTTCTTTTGCAACATGTTTGTTCATCACAATGAAATGGCAAAAAATTTAGAAGATCTGAAGCTGTTCGAAGCGCTTTATCGCATTATCACACAGCACATACATGGGATGCGGGCGCGCGAAGTGCCAAAGAAGAGCGCTACGCTGGAAAATATCGTGAATAAGTTGAATTGCAAGAATTTCGGGCAGTGCTACGGCGTGATACCCGAATCATTTGCGTAAGCCTTCTTCAGTTGGTAGCCCAGCAGGTGCTATCGCAAGTCATTTGCATCAGAACCGTTTTTTTTTTTATTCAAAGTTTTTTTTTTTAAAGTTAGAATGAAGTGTATTTTCTTCAGTGGCAACAAATGGATTACAATGGGGAAGACACTGATCATTGGCTATGATGTATGCCACCCGGAGCCGCAGTCAAAATACGAGCGGAGACTGAAAATACCGCCATCTCAGCCGAGTGTTCTTGGAGTTCGTCGTTGTATCTGGATTCCTTTACACCGGAGAAATCTGCTTCATGCTTTATTTTAATGATACCACCATCTAAATTTTTTTTTCAGATAAGTTTCAATGGAGCTGTTTGCGCCGAAACATTCATTGGCGACTACGCATACCAAGAACCTCGGCAAGAGCGAGTGACCGGTTCCATTCTCGAAGAGCGCATAGGATGGATCTTGAACCTGTTTTGGCTGAATCGTAACACGCTCCCGGAAACAGTGATTATCACCCGTGATGGAGTATCGGAAGGACAGTTCAGAATGGTAAGGCCCCAAAAAGCTCAAACGGGTCTTTCTTTTATTTTTATGCGTTTTGTGC